TCTCAAGCACCTAGCAAGCTCCTGTTCCTCGCGCTCGCTCCCTCAGCGGGAGAGAGCACGTGCAGGCTGAACTCCTCTCACAATGTTATTCTTCGAGCACGCTCGGGGTACGGGTCGGCCTGATCGATGTAGTCGCGATCAGCGTTATAATTGCCGCCGTAAATCTCCCGTCATAATCTGCTCCTTTGTCTCGGTGTGAGCGAGGGGAAGAAGAGCGAGAAAATATTCGTGCCGCGCGATCGAGAATGATAGATTGACCCCAATTCGACGAGCGTGTCTGCAAAAAAAGGACGAGAGATAATGGATACGAAAATGAGCGGGGTGGATGTCGATGACGGCGACCGCCGCGAATCAGATTCTCGACAACAGGCCGCGGCGGTCGCGGTTCAACCGGATCGCCGAGCGAATCGCTGAAACGCGATTCTGCCGGTCGCAAAGTGATGGCTCTACTTTCGAAGTGACACGTACAAGCGGCTTTCGTGGGGACGTGATTTGGGTCAACGTCATTCGCGACCTTCTTCTGTTTGTAATCGACGACGAGTAAGTTCGCGCGATGCGCTCGCTCGTAATGATCTCTCAGAGGGTATCGGGCGGGTTTTGAACGGAGCTAATTTCATCAAGAGCTTACGCACGCAGTTTCCCAATGGGTACACAGAAACACGCTCGTAAACGCTTACGAGCAAGCTCGGAACGCTCGCGCGTAGAAAGTTTCTCTATTTTTCATGCGTCGATTATTGTTACTGCCCTCTCCCCCTCCCCCCTCTCCACCTCGCTCGAGCAGCGCGCATTCTCTCCGCTTCTTACTTCTCGAGAATCATTAAATTATAAATCAAGCGGAACTGGATCAATGGCTAAAGTCGGCGGATAGGCGTCGAGTGTCACATTGAATTATTCTGAGATTTAGCGATGATTATGAAGAAAATGCGGTCGCACTCGCGCGCGCGCGCGCGCGCACGCGCACCGCTTATTCTCGCGAATTTGCATTTCATTCATATGCTTTGATGCCGACTGCGGCAAGAGATTAAGTTCGCGGAGGAATCGAGCTAAAATGTACGTCGCACTCGGCTTACACCAAACGAGGCTGAAGATGACGCATTAATCTCAGCACGCAGTCTCCGTGAATGCGGCGCCTATTTAACTACGGGGAGAGCCTGAAAACGTCATTGCACTCTCTCCCTCTCCCCCCGCTCTATCTTTCCCTCTCGGCCCAAGAAACGTTTTTATTTAGTGGCACGACGGCGCGTGTTAATCAAATTCGCGAGTATCCGCCGTACAAATATGACGGAGATTCATCGGCGGTCTCCTTCGTGTGATTTCGCGAATGGAGAAATCCTGATCGAGAGGATACGGTTGAGAGAGATCTTATTGACTCCATCGTTTTCGCACGATCGCCGCGACTGCCTTCGCATTTTTCACGCAGACGACCATATCGATTTCGCCGAGGCTTTCCAATTCGGACGTTCATTTTACTCGAGGATTATCCTGGAGATCGTGACGTGCGGGACAGAGAGAGAGAGAGAGAGAGAGAGAGAGAGAGGAGGGGGGGAGCGCCGTGAATTAATCGGAAGTGAATTTATCGCTTCGGAACGTTCGCGTGTCGTGTGTAACAATCTTTTCGTTTGTCGACGGCGATGGAGCAAAAAAGAGAGAGAAAAATAGGGAAGACTATTTGCGTTGAAAATACGTCGCGCGACAGAAAAAACGCAGGTTACGATCTCTGTCGCTTTCCAAATTTATCCCTTTATTATATTTTTGTCAACGCGGCCACCGCCTCACTCGCACTTCTTAACGCGCTCGGTGACTCGTCGACCTTATCGCCACGTGATACTGTAATGCGTTTTGAGGTCCCCGTAATGAGTTATCTTGTCTCCGTTCGACCTGTTATTTACCACTACATTCTCGTCAACAAATCTGACTGGTCGCATTACCATAATCGACGACCTTGCCGCTTCTTAATTAAACACACGTAGATACACAGAATATTTGAAAAAAGGAATTCAAGACTTTGAGGGCAGATGATGCTGACACAAAATATAGGAAAAAGATGCTAATGAATATGGATCGAAAAATTAATACTGTCAGAGTTACGAACGATTATTTATTTTAATTAAAGCGCGCGTGACTTACTCGCTTCTGGCTTTTGTATTCTCTGATGCAATTTGTCTATGTGATTTATCGAAGAGAGCACCGTGCTTTAAAAGAATCCCTCAAAAATGAATCGTCAATATCGGTTTTCCTTGCACGAATGAGCGTTGTGGGCTTTTGCCAATTTTTGAGGCCTGTTATTTTACTAAACCGACTATCAGGCGCAATTTGTATAAATTTCTTTTCAAATACGTTAAGGCACTTTTTAGACGATATCCCTCTTGGTGGGATGACTGCAATTGTGATTTATGTCGACATTCTTTAAATAGATCCTCCGGTGAAAGATGGACTAGACGGGGTGGACCAGTTTCATGGCCCCTGATTTAAATCCTCTGGACATTTTCTATTGAGATTTTTTAAGAACATGTGTACTCTTCACCGATAAATGACGCGGACAAATTACATCAGAGGATACGAAATGCCAGTCAAATAGAACAAAGCCGGGAATTGTTGAAAGAATTTGCAATTCTATGGCACGAAGTTGTGAAGCGTGTCCAGAAATAGAAGGAGGACACGTAGAAAATCCTCTGTAAACTTTGCAAGCACCAGAAGCGAGTAGCTCACTTGCTTTAATTAAAACAGATAATTGTTTACAACTCGGACAATATTAATTTTTCGACCCATGTTCATTAGGATTCTTCCCCTCCATTTCGTGTGTACTATCTGCCCTCAAAGTCCTAAATCTTTTTTTTAAATACCCTGTATATAAGGTCGTCGGATATAAATATTGTCGCGGCACGCTCTCTCGTATCGCCCGAACGGCAGAGAGACACGAAAGTAACTCTGTTTCTTATTATTGTTTCTTATTATTATTCGACTATGCCAAGGCGGGGAAAATTTCGCCTGCGTTTGCGACTGCTCGCGAAAGCCACTGTGAAACTGCCTACCGCTTCCCATTGTCACGAGCATTCCGTTAATTACGACGAATTCGCGCGCATTTACTAATCTCCTCTGCATGAATATTCGCGGAGTCTCGGTAAGATTGATATTGCCGTTATAGTGCGCCTCACAAACGACGACGTTGAAAACCTTTATTTTCCAGCTCACACACGCCGGCACAATCGGCCTCTCGAAGTGGATTTCGTCGCTTATTCCGAAAGACCGGCCGGTTCGGAATATTGATTTGTCTTCTCGCCTGGAGAGAGAGGCCGACCGATATCGCGAATGGTATACACACTGTGAACGAAAATCGTTAGTCTCCCAGAGAGATTACGAGACCCAAGACGAAATTCGCTCGCGTGAGCCGCTTCCTCCGACGTCGCTTAACGTCGAATAATATTATCTCACCGCGAATACGACGACGGGCTACGAACGGCCCGTTTTTTCTTGGCCGTGTCTGTCACGCAGAGAGAGAGAGAGAGAGAGAGAGAGAGAGAGAGAGAAAGAGAGAGAAAGAGAGAGAGAGAGGGGAGGGAGAGAGGGAGATACGGAGTGACAGCGATTCGCCGCGAGGCTATCACGCGTTCGCGCGCCCACGCGCCGTTCATCTTCCGTGGCAAGTGCTTTAATTTCTTGAGTGTCAATCCGATGTTTTCCGCGTCGTTTGACATCGGCCGACGACAATGTCGACGACGAGGCGACGACGGCGACGCTTCTCCGGGATTCCAGAAAAGAACCCGGACGCTCGACGAGGAGTCGCGGCGCTCTTGCGTTTTCAAACCGTCGTATTTCTTTCCGCGTCATATCCACGTCACACGGCGACACCGCTTTTTTTCCCTTTCATCGTCTCGCGACACAAACGCTACTCTCGCTCTTTTTTCAACCCTCCCGCGAGAAACACTAAATCTCGGTACGAGTTACAGTGGCCTGACTGTGACAGCATCGCGGCGCTTACGCGAATAAAATATTTTTGCGTAACGCGCGCGCGATCCCCCTCCTGCCGCGCCTTCTCACTCCCACTCTCTTTCTGCGCGTAACGAACAACGCGTGCAAATGAAATCAAGTCGTGCGAGATAGGTGATTGATAAACAATCGGTCCACTAATGACCGGGTATCACATGACCGCGATTGTAATATCTGCTGGTTCTCCACTCTCATCGACGCTATGTGCTTTTCGATCACCGGTAGCGTCGACCTTTTCAGCGTCAATACTTGCGAATGAAATTAGATATGCGAGCGAGTGCTTTTTCCCTTTTTTTTCCTCTTAGTGTGACAACGCATGCTCCGTTTCTCGAGAATTGTCTCTAGCGCACCTTGAACTTTGAAGATGGAAGGCTGAGGGATTTGCCGTTTGCTTTTTCCGTAAAAAGCACATTTCGCCTGGCCGGATGCACGTCGGTTTTTTCCTTTTTTTTTCTTTTTTTTCATAATTTCGCAAGATCGGGCGCGACGCGCTAAACGAATTAAGGGCCGGTAATGAAGTTCGTTTATCGTCGTTATACCGCACCGCCGCGTTATTCGCGGCGTCGACAGCAATAGACGCGACGCAAGCGCACTTTATTAGCAGCTTAACTGACGAATTCGCGTATGTTGTGAGCTCGTATGACGCGCGTTCTCTTCTCGCGCCGGGAAGCAGTTTAGAAAAATAATCGTAATCGAGATGGCCGAAGTTAGGCCGTTTCGAAAGCGCGCTCGCCGCTATCGATCGCCTCGTTGGAGAACTCTCTCGATGCGCTCGCGAATCGTAATCGCCGATTTATGAGACCGCCTAGCTTCTACGGCTTCACACATCCCACCTCTCCCCCCCCCTACTATCCCTATCGGTGTGTTCTTTCTGTGTGCCAGTCGATGTTCAAGCTTTCGTCGGCACCGCATTATTGTTTAACTGTTTATGTCACTAGCGTGATCACGAGCTACTAAGAAACATTAATTGATTGTCGTTATTGTGATTGTAACTGGATGTTTCTTGCTTGCAGCACCAGAGCGCCGCCCAGGCATTGGTGAGTCGCATGCCTCTTTCTTTTCCTTTTCTCTTTTTCTCTTTTTTTCTTTCTTCATCTTTTTCTCTCCACCTCTCATTCACGTTTTCTTACCACCTCTCTCTGGTACTCCCTGCATATGCATACTTGGTACATCTTTACATATCCGTATCGCCAGCCTCGTTTGGAGTAGCCGGATGTTACCATCGACCCTCCTCGTGCTTCTCTTTCAGATTTGGAGCGTGTAACTGTATTTCCGTGCAACTAATGTCCATTTTCATCGTATACAGGGTGTCTGGTAGCTCATGTGCCGCCGCCATTAGTTGCTACATCGACTGTAGGGCCGTGCTGTAACCCGAGTGGTTGAAACGTCTCTCCAATCATTCATCACGGCGTGCGCTCACTCGTCAGATCTCTCTAATTAATAACTCGATAATTATTGCGAATATCGCAAAACGGGGCTTTATGGGGCTTTTATGTTTGCCTTGGTCAGATTTACGCTTCCATTGGCTATGGCTATGGCTAAGTTATCAAACACCCTGCGAACGTAACGAGCACGTGGAGACGAGCACGAGCACGTAAATGGAGAGACCCACGAGGAGGGGCTGGAATGGATGGGGTAATATCGAGGACACTCTCTTTACTAGGTCATAATCAATTGTGTCATAATAGATGTGTAGAGTATTACACCACTTTCTTATTCTTGTGCTATACACACACACACACACACACACAACACACAAACACGGGTCGACAGACACGGGTCGGAACCCAAATTCAAGTGCAATCTCACACGCACGATACGCATAAGTGTATGAGACGACGCCGAGATACGACTTCGACCGTACTCTTTCGTATCAATGTTGTCTTCTATATTACAGCGTTAGATAACACTACGTGTGTACCCCCGCAATTAATGTTACATGGTTGAATGTTGTATGATGTGTTGCGAGAAGAAAGAAATAAATAGTTTCTGGATGGAATAAGGTAAGCTTCTCTAGCTGGATGAAGAAACCGAGAAGTTAGAAACTGAAGCTTTAAACTTTGCGCCAGCACCGGCCGACGATTTTTGCGCGCGATGCTCGTATACCAACTTTTAACAAATTCTATCAAAATCGAGCGGAGCTTCCTAAACTCGTCTTATCCTCGCGCTCATCGAAAACATCCTGCGCGCGCTTCCACGCAAGACGTAATTTATATTATTATAGTAACTTGCGCGTAATACTCAATAATCATTTATTTTACACGCGATAGCTTTCGTTATTTATTCCACTAGCAGCTTTGGCGCATTTGTACGCATGCCGAATTTATTCCGCTGACCGGTCACGTGGCGAGCGACAGAGAGAGAGAGAGAGAGAGAGAGAGAGAGAGTTATTCCTTTGCAGATTTCGTGAAAGCACATACCGATTGCGCGATGTTCGTGAAATCCAATCGAAACGCAGCCACGAGCACGTAATTACTCCAGTGTAATTACCCGTGTCTGCACAAATTTGATACAATATTTAACTTAGCATGCTCTCGATCGTCATCGAGATCCCGGGGAGCGGCGGGACTACTTCTGCGAAAGTAACCAACTCACTGAATCTCAATGAACAATCCATCGAGATGGTTTCGAGCGGTCGGTCGATAGGACGAGTTCGCGGCTGCCGCCGGTACGGCTGGTCCCGATACGGGGCTTGAGCAAACGAATATCGGGGTCCGCGACTGATCGCCCGCACCCTCGATAACCCCGTATCTCGCTTCGATAAATCCCCCCCGGCCGATCGGCGCTCTGATTCCCGGAACGCCCGCCGAGCCGGCAGCTCGCGCGAAATATTCGTACTCGTATGCGCGTCTCGCCGCGCGAACTTACGAAAGTTACATGAAAGATGCATCAGCCGCAAAGTGCAAGCGACCCTTATTTTGCCATACCCCTTACGACGACGTCGCGTTGTTCGCGTTGCATCACGGCCGCTGCCGTGCAACGTGCACGGTTGCCGGCCGTAGTACGAAATAATTTACTCCTGATGGACGGCGCGGAAAATCCAATCGGCCGGGATAATCGAATTGTCGGGCCGATCGGAGGGAATCTCTCGCAGCTTTTCGCTAGATCGATCTTTTTTGTGCTTTTTTCCCCTCTTCTTCTGCTCTTCTTTTTCCCCGTGCCGTTCGTCAACGCGCGCATCATCCTTGTTTGAACGCCAACGGCCGGCTGTTCCTTAAAACGAGACTTCCGCGACGGGAATTTCATTCCGACGGATTTACGCGTCAGACGGAATACCGTCGGAGATACGAGAAAAAGAGTGAGAGAGAGAGAGAGAGAGAGAGAGAGAGAGAGAGTGGGGAGGACGAGAGAGAAAGGAGAGACATCGTCTCGCCTTGAACTCTTCCTCCGTTGGATCTCGTTAGACCGGATCGCGTTCGATTTTTCAGAACGGTATCGCGCACCGGTAGCTGTTTAACGATTAAACAGCCGGCTTCCATCCGCTCCGGCCACTTTGAAGCCTGCAAGCTGCGCGCTGGGAGAGCGACGGCTGTGCTGGAAACGCGCGGAAATCGCAGCGTCGTCCGCACGTGACGAGCTCGGTCTCGCGTTGTCCTCGCGAAGTCTCGCGAAGTTTAGCAAGCGCAGAAGCGATGTGAAACTTCCGCGATATTAGAAAAATCGAGAGCACGTTGACAGACACAGAGAGAGAAAGAGAGCTAAAGAGAAAGGGAGTGGAGAGGGGGAGGAGGTGAACGAGACGAAGCAGACGACAGACGAGACGGATAGAATTGAACCGTGGATTTGTCCGCAATTCTTGCCCGTTATCCGGCGCCCCGGCTCGGGTAAAGCTCGCGCGAAATGATTTTATACGAAGCGCGAACTGGGTCGGAAGTAAAAGTTGTGTAATTGCGACTCCACTACCCAGACTCGCGAGGATAACCGATTCGAAGTGAGAGACTTCGCCGGGGCCCCGGCTAGTTTCGCACGCTAGAGCGAGTTGCCGTAGTTGCCGTAAATTTCTTCCAATTTGAGGCTTTCGAGTGGCTCCTCCCGATCCGCGAATAGCGCTTGCCCGGCGCACCGCGGCGTCCGCGTGTCGCACGTTATCGGCATGCTCGTTCGTTTCGCGAATCGCGAATAACCGCCGTCGCCGCGGGACGCGCACCGCTCTGTAGAGAAAAGCACCGGCGCTCGCATTTTCAAACACCTTTATATTACGCGATATTGTAAACAAACTTGCGCCGCGCAACTCTTGATTAAAACACGAGACGCACGCTTGGAAGCTCGCGCGCGTTATCGAGGAGACGTTTGCGCGCCGTGTGACGCGCCTCGTTGCTGGAGCAGAATAATTCTTCGCTTTATCGATTTCAAGTCCCGGAGGGGGTTGAAAACGGAGGGGAGAGGGGAGGAGAGTGTATCTCGCGTCGGTGGTATCTGTCGATATGTGTCGAGTCTCCGAAAAGTATCACCCGCGCGACGATTAGCGCAGCGACGAATCGCTGCGATCTCGCGCACTCCTGGCAATCGGAAGCTGCGACATTCCGTCATAACGATCGCCGTCGCGCTTATTCCGCGCGCTGTTTTTTCAGGGAGATATCGGACAAGCATCGTTAGCGCGCGATACGGGATATATCGCTTCGCTAAAATGTCGGCTAGGCGGCTGAAAACACCTCGCGGGGATCATCGATCTATCACGCGAATGCCGTAATTCGCCGCAGCCGACATCCGCGAACTCTCGGACATTCAAGACGTCCAATTCGACCGTCGTCTTTCCCGTCGCTCGCTCGCACAAATTACGATGATATCGCGAATTAATCGATATCACATCCGCGTGCATTGCTGCTTCAGAACTGTTTGCAGTCGCTCGCGCGTAGCGTAAACTCGGGTAAGATAGCCGTAGACTGTAAATTGCCCAATAATTGCTAAACAATACGTTTCTTCTATTTACTCTCTAAGATAATTGATATTTGCAGAGGTTTATGTGCATGCACTATTCGAAGTGATAATATCGCGAGTATTATATGTCATGGCCATCTTTTATCCGAGTTCATTTTTGCGCGCAACGCGAACGTCACTCGCATCGGCCCGACCGGGAAAAAGCGATTGTTATGTTAATATTATCGTTGCACAAATGCACACACCTCTATTAAAGCAACATCGCCGCCGGCTGCCGGCAAAAATCATAAGAACGGGAAACATCGTTTCTAGACAAACGGTAGGCAGCCCGGCCGCGGGCTTTGCAAGTTGCAGGTATGCAAATGGACACTTCAACCTCGGCTGTCTAGGCCAAGCGGAGGCTCGGCCGCAGGGCTTAACACGCTGCATGCGGGCAGCTTTGCTTTATATTCAGTCGACTACATATAATTTTATTAATCATTTGTCTTCGGACACGCGCGCGAATCTCTCCCACTTCGCGCCGATGCGCCGGCGTGCGCCCGTTACTCTCTCCGTAAGCGCGAGATATAGTTGTCGTTTATTCCAACTATCCGTAGTATAAGTAGGTTAATAATACAACTTGACTCGACGCCTCGCTCCCTTCGCTCGCCTCGTACGTCTCAAGTATGCGCAACAACGGTAAGAGAATTTATTGTGATATTTATAACTTGGCTTTTAAGGGCCGCGACTCCCCGTCGCCGCCAATGACATTTTAGATTTAAACGACGCCCGCCGAGCTATAGCATGACGCAGGATAGAATTTTAAACTACGGTCGCCCCGGTATAATATGTTGATTATAATATCGCACGCGCGCGTGACAACGGCGTTACTTATGTATGTCGCTTTTTGCTTCGTCGCCGTGTGCGGCCGGCGCGAGAGGAAAATCAATACCTCTAAACGCGATTTCGATTTCCATGCTAGAAAATCTCTCTCTCTCTCTCTCTCTCTCTCTCTCTTCCTCTTCCTCTTCCTCTTCTTCTCTCTCTCCCTTTCCCTCTCGTTTATTTGCGGTGGCCAGCGCGTTGTGTTGAGACGAGCAGCGTACAGTTTTGCATGCACGTGCACGTCCTTCGCATTCACACCGCGGAAATTCTAGTCACCGGCTGCAATTGTAATTAG